CTCGTAAGCGACTGTTCTGCTAACCCATTGCTTGGCTCGCAATCATGCGTATCGGTTTTCTTGTCAAGCGCCGTGGCTGATGCCTTCTCGGCGCGTTCCTGGCGCAAGGTTTCAATCATTTCGTTCAACGACTTGCGAGACTCCGTGGTCTCATCTTCAGCCTTCTCAGCTCGATCTTTAAAGAATGCCATTTGCTTTCTCATCTCTGCCATCTCCTCCATCATAATTTCCAAGCGAGTCTGAAGTTCAGCAGTCTTGTCTTCCACAGGAGCGTCTGCCTGGCTGTTGTCGGGAGCAAGAGTTTCCGAAGGATGGGTGCCGTTAACCTGTACGGTTGCTTCTGGATCGTCCTGTTCCTCCTTTCTGTCTACGCCATTCTCTGGAGGTGGAACAATGCCGTTTTCGACTTTGACTTCAACATCCAATGAGCGCATCTCCAATTCATTGACTTTGTTTTCTGCCAATTTACGAGCAGCCTGCTCTTGGAACAGCAAATTTTCTAGTTCCTTGACACGTGTTCCATGGGTTTCAATCTCTCGCTTGGCAGAAGATAGCGCCTCGATGAGATTCAATATCTGACTAGAATCGCGGGAGACAGGAGAACCTGTACCACTCTTCGGTTTTTCTGTATCGCTGCGCTTCAGCGGTGAGAACGGCTCTGATGTACTTCGTGACAACGCGTCGGGTTTCTCCGGCAGAGGCTGTTGAGGTGGAGGGGCAGGAGGATCCGAGAATCTGGAGAAGGAGTCGACTCGAGGCATTTTGGGCCGACCATTCATCTGGCGATGAGAACTGTTCTCCAAAGGAGAAGGCTTAATGAGCTTTTCTTTCTCTGCATAGCCTGGTTTCATGATCGTCGTCAAAAATTCATCTGCTTGAGAAAGATCTGTTGTCTGTTGCTTTGCGGATTTCAGTTCGCCCTGGAAAAAATCAGTGATATGTAGTATACAGATAAATTGTGATACACACCGTAAGCCGCTTGACAACCTGTTCGATAGAGATTGGGGAATTCCAGTAGTTCATCTGCCGTTGTTGATGCAAAGCATTGAGCTGATTGCTGGCAACACTCTGGGCAATTCTGCTACTCGCGTTGCTACCGGCTCTACCGCGCGTATGAGAAAGCGGTTGGCTCAAGGGAGAAGGAAGAAGGCCTCCCCCCGAGGCAGGATCCAAGTCCCCAAAGTTCAGATCAAGGATACTAGGAGTAGTGCCATAAGTTCCGGCATGCTCAACCTTAGATGAGACTTTGTGATGGACGATGGTGGATTGATCTTCGCTGACAATGTCAATACCCAGCTCTAGGGTATCGCTTTCTCGCAGTTCGTGCGGCTCTGACTCCCGATTTTCGGGAGACAGTCGGTGACCGTTCACAAATGTCCCGTTTGAGGATTTGACGTCTCGGATCCAGATTTTGCCAGATTTATCGGCCCATACCTCAGCATGCTGTCGAGAGAGAACTTTGGAGTCAAAGAAACCATTGAGAGGCGTAGGCACCGTCTTGGCATTTGTTTGGCGCCCGATTCGTAGGACGTCGGGATAATATGGTACATTGATCTGTTTCCTGTCAAAAGTGCCGTTCATCGGCAAAAGAATCAAAATTGCTAGATTCTCTGAGGGTGGGCCGGTTGGCGCACGGACGCCATTCTGCTGCGATGACTGGGGCATCTGTTGCGATGGGACGATGTTCAGAGGCTGGTGCATTGCGGACATTGTCGACGACGCACTTGGGCCCGACGAGAACGCAGGCACCGCCTGAGATCGCGCGTTTGTCACCCCTGATACCGGCTCGGATTTCGAGCTAGGCCAGATATTTTTCGAATACTTCTTTTTTGATGACGACCAAGTCTCTGATTCACTGGCCGAATTCTGCGCGGCATGGGTATCTTGGGAAGGGGTGGTCACAGTAGATGCGGAGGAGACCGAAGAGTTCGACCCTAGAGAGGACGAGGAGTTTGAGCGTTGAATGTGTTTCCGTGGCATGAACATCCGTGACACGTCGTCCGCATTCGCTGAAGACAGAGCTCCTTCTCCTCCGTTACTAGAGCTGTACCATCCCAAGCGAGACCCCGATTCGACACTAGGTGGAGATGCCACGGCAGTCATAGAGAAGGATGCGAATGGTTCAAGGGAATGGAATATCTAGACGGAGCACGGAGCGCGTCCACGGTTGCGAACTGTAAAAGGGGCCGTAGGCCGTCTTCTGAGGAGGTCTCAAGTATAAAAAGAGGACGTCTAGTAATGTTGGTTTATGCCCGGGGGTTGGTGATATTGAATGCGCGCAAGGGTGATTGAAACTTGGGTCGCCCGACTAAAGTCAAGACGGTCGCGTTAGTGCTGTTTAGGGAGAGACAAATAGATTGACTCCTAGGTCGAGGTCTTGCCTCGACCCCACAAAAAATAGTTGTGTATTTGGAGTAAGAAGTGGACTCACTTTAGAATTGTGAACTGAGAGATATTTAGGAGGGAATAAAATAGGTGCTTCAAGACCAAGGAGTTGTGTGGAGGTCGGAAATCGTGAGCGACCGGGCTCACGCCAGGGCAATGATATAAGCACAAGACGGGACTGCCGCCTCGGCGCAGGCTTCAGGCAGCCCTTTAAAAGACGTAGCGAAAAAGAAATCAGAGACCGAGGATAGTTGCCATGAGGGAACCCACGCAAGAGCGCAAGAGTGCCATTTGTTTCCTACGCCCTTGATGCCGCCGACAGGCAAAATGGGTCACGTGCTATACCGGCACGTGTGCGATTTCAAGCCCGTTAGGGACTCACGTGACGAAGGCGGAGAAGCATCAAGCCGGGGAGGAAAAAGAGCTTGTTCCTTGACTCTCACAACGAGATCTTTCATTCGGCTCAGCGCTGTTGCATGCTGTTTTTAATCTAATTCACAAGCTTCTTTTTAGCTTTCCATAATGCCTGTGGTTGCCGGACCTCCCGCTCAAGCGGGCCCAGGGGGTGCTCCCTCAACTTTGGAGAAGAGTATGTCATCTACAACCTAGTGATATAGATCACCCTCCGCGTGGTGTCCTTTTTCCTTGGGTACTATATATATATGGTGAACCAAGTATGCTGACATATTCCTAGTGAAAATGGGCTGCCTGATGGGTTCCAGTACGTGATCACAAAACAACCGAGCCTTGTTCACCAAGAGCTTTTGCTAACATAGCTCCCCTTTCAGCTGTTGGTGGTATCATGGGCTTCATTATTGGTTGGTCCCACTTAGTCCCCGAATGAAGGTGTGCATGATAAGCTAACTGAAACAGGAACTGTGACGATCTTCCAATATGGCGCTGGCCCCAACGGTGTTATGCGGACTCTCGGCAAGTATATGCTAGGTTCAGGCGCCACTTTCGGGTATGGTTGACTCCTTGAAAGCTTTGAAGTTATACTACTTTGGTTGAGAATCACTGGCTAATCAACTTCCCTTCAAATAGACTCTTCATGTCCATCGGTAGCGTCATCCGCTCTGAAGGACCTCACAACGATGCCTGGCTTCGTGCTCGGGGCCCCCCAATGATGCTCCCCCGACAGAGTCCCCTCCGGCCAATGCGCCAGTGAACACAGTTTTTCTCGCAGTCTTATGGCTATGTTCGGGAAACATGCGACATGACCACTCCTTGGCGACGTCCCTTGTACGATATAATCTCTATGGTTAAGAGATACTTTTTCTGGTGGTTTCGAGAGAGGACAACTACCCAAATATGGCTGTGACGACAAGTTCATGGGTACTCGCTACTTAAACACGCGATGTACATAATCTAGCAGTACCCAGAACATGAATGTTGAAGTTCAATTGTCTCAGTTGTTCCATGTGAGGCGTTGTCGTGATAATATATCCTTTTTTTTCTCTGTTACACGATTCAATCCTGTCCTTGGAAAGAAAATTCCTCTGTGATTCTGTGTGGGGACGGTCCAATGATGTGAGAATCCAGCTCAAAGGGGCGGGGGATCAATCTACGAGGTCAGAGATTCTATGTATGGGCTAGTCTGGCTACCCTTGTTGATTAAGTCCAAAGTCAGGGCAAGAAATCTGGTTGGTTCTGAATACGACCACGTTGATTGTCAATCTTTTAGTAAAACCACAGCCAACCGTCATATTATTTGACTGGACTGGCATCTATTTTGTCTCAAGACGTGGCTTGATGCCCAGGCTAGGCAGTATGTAAGGCTATAACCGTCTTGTCTTGATCATAGCCACCAAACTATAGAAACCCCCTTTAAGAGGAGCCATCTCTACCTACAAGTAGCTAACAGGCAGCTGTACCAGCGATTCAGTTCTGTTTGTTTCCGTTTGTCTGATCCTGAAACCAGATGCAGACGGATGTTAGATTGCTGTTCCAGCCGCTCTCGGGGATTTAGAGATTTAATCCTAGATTATTCCAGTTAGGGACCGTACTGTTTGCCTTGACATGTGCAGGTACGCGGTAACGGTAAGTAGAATGTCATGTTATATGGAACTTTCTTTATAGAGAGTAGGTGAAGATCAATATCAAAGTACAGACAACGAAGGCGAAGTACGGTCACGGTCGCAGTTTGAGAATAGAACCTATATCACAGTGTGATAATTAGGAACAGGATTATTCCCTTATTACTTATCCTCGAACAAGTCACCGAAACATAGTCAGCCCCTTAGATGTCCACTGCACGGAGTACAAAGTAAGTAGTAAGGCATGTCTGCCAACTAAGAGCATCAACTTACGGTGTAGCCAGGTAAATTCCAGTCTGATCTGCATGGTCCAACCAATAATGAAGCCATTTTGCCGCCTCGGCCTAAGTCTACAGCCCGGTTTAGTTTGGATAGCCGCTAGGACACCCTTCTCCCAGCCCCCTGGCGCAGGAGGCACCTTTGACATGATCAGTGCGTCTATCCAATAAGCAGTCGCTCAGTCAATAACGGGTCTTTGGTATAGGAATGAGGCTCAGAATGGGGGAATATATAAAGAACCACCTCTGCTAGTACCCTGCTAGAGAGGTTTTACCCAGAACCTCCGTCCCACCTCCCATCATGGCTACTCAGCTAGCATCTCCCCTTCATTATAGCTGTACTTTGATAGCAAGTCTCTACATTGTAATATGCATTTTATTTTATCGCACTCCGGTAAAGAGAAGAAAGACTCGCTCCAAGCGCCGCAGTCGACCTCGAGTTATCTTGGCTAGCTTGATCGTTTTCACATATGTCAGTCAAACGGCCTTGAAAATCACCACTGATGACCTGGACAGTTCTCAGCCATTCTTGGTGCATATGACCTCTCAAGCGGTCATATGGACGGCACTGTGGCTACGACAGAATCCTTCCAAGTACGAAGTGGCTGGAAGCTCGTTGGTCACCGCTGGTTTCGAAATTCCACTCCTTGCGCTCTCTTTGTGTCCCAAGCCGAGACAGTGGGTACCAATCACGCAGCTCACCATCTCAGCGGTCCGACTTGCCCTGCTTGTCTTTGTGGCAAGTGCGATTCTATTTGAGACTAGACAGAGGAAGAAAAAGATATCGGAAGAGTCGCGCCCTTTCCTAAATGGCAATCATACAAGATATGGCGCAGCGAATGGCAACGACTCGGAAAATAGCAGCGTGGACTCCAAGAGCGAGAGCGATTCGGACACCGGCAAGAATAAGAATGATGCAGCCATGCGCAGGAAAAGACTCCGCAATGACAAGTTGCAGTCATTTAAGGGTTGGTTGGAATATCTGAAAAGCTTCTCGATCTTTCTGCCATACTTGGTCCCCAGAAACAATCGCAAGGTCCAGCTTTGTGTTGCCACCAGTATCTTCTGTTTAGTATGCCACCGGGCTCTGAACATCCTCATTCCTCAGCAACTAGCAGATGTCACCGATAGCATCTTTGCCAACAAAACCCCATATGCTTCACTGGGAAAATGGGCGCTGCTGCAGCTCATCAGTGGCGGAGCTGGGCTAGGATTGATCGAGGCACTTGTCAAGATTCCTATCAGGCAGTTCTCTTACCGGCAGATCACTGCTGCTGCCTTCAGCCATGTCATGAATCTGTCAATGGACTTCCATATCGAAAATGACTCGGCAGAAGTTATGAAGTCCATCGACCAAGGTGGAGCGCTGAACAGTCTGTTAGAAGTTGCCATTCTAGAAATCATCCCGACAGTGATTGACTTGGCTATTGCATGTGTTGTTTTCTATTTAAAGTTCAATATCTACGCGTCCTTGCTGGTGGTGATAGTATCTATTGCTTATGTTGCGACGGAAGTCTTTACCTCTAACTGGAACATCGACGCCAGACGTGATGTTTCACAGACACAGCGAAACGAAACTCGGATTATGCATCAGGCCGTACAAGGCTGGCAGACTGTTACATACTTCAACCAGTTTTCGTACGAGAGGTCTCGCTTTGCGGAAGCGGTTGACCTCGCCTTGAAGGCTAGCGCCCGTTTCGGTCAACGCCGAGCAATAGGCAGATCACTCCTGGACTTACTCAAACCAATTTGCTTCGTTGGTCTCTCCTCGCTCATCGTACATGAGATTTCTGTGGGACGCGCCTCCACGGGAGACTTTGTTTTCTTCATTCAGTATTGGTCTTCGCTCATCTCTCCTTTGGCCTACCTCTCCGCGCAATATCGCTGGCTTGTCTCTGATCTAGTTGATGCGGAGCGGCTACTCTTCCTGTTTCAATCCAAGCCTAGCGTCACTGACAAGGAGTGTGCGATGCCGCTGAAGCCTGGTGATGGCCGTGTTTCGTTCCACCATGTTGACTTTGCCTATGATTCCCGGTTGAAGACTCTCAAGGATGTGAATATCTCTATCGAACCTGGGACAACAGTTGCACTGGTCGGTATGACTGGTTCAGGAAAGACAACAATCCTTAGACTCCTTCTCCGACTTTACGATGTTACTGCTGGTCATATTGATATTGACGGCCAAGACATCCGCGACATAAGCCTCAGCTCACTACGTCAGACTATCGGTGTTGTGCCACAAGATCCCGTCTTATTCAACGCATCTATCATCGAGAATTTGCGGTATGCCCGGCCCTCGGCTTCGGATGAAGAGATCCACGAAGCATGTCGTGCCGCAGCTATTCACGAGAAAATCCTCACGTTTGTGGACGGATACAACACCACAGTCGGAGAGCAGGGTGTCAAGTTGTCTGGCGGTGAACTACAGCGGATGGCCATTGCTCGGGTTTTCCTAAAGAAGTCACCGATTCTCCTGCTGGATGAAGCAACGAGTGCCGTAGACTCGAGCACGGAATCGGACATCCAGACTGCGTTGGACCGATTGAGAGCCAAGCGAACTACGTTTGTCATTGCCCATCGACTTTCAACTATTTCCAGCGCCGACCGGATCCTTGTTGTGCATGAGGGACAGGTTGTCGAGAGCGGGTCTCACCAAGAGCTGCTGAAGAAGGAGGGTGGAAGATATCAGAACCTCTGGCGGAATCAGTTCGGGGACATCAAAAATGAGAAGCCTGCGTTGTAAGCGAGAGAACTGGAATGATTGAAGATGACAAGAATGGGGAAATAGTTGGGAAATGAGCGAGTGCAAATGTGATTGACAATTCTGACATGCTTGGTCTTTACTTTCGATACTACATACAATACAGTCTTTACCTAGAGGTCTACGACGTAGAATCATCGCACATCAAAGACCAAATGTCAATGGCCACGAGTTCTCCGAGTTCTCCCAGAGGAACCTAGTGTCTAGAGACAACTTTGATTGATATCGGGCTCTGTTGCAGCGAAAATGATGGTATTTTAAGGACCAATGAACTGGTAATGGGTACTGATATATATTTCATCTAACCATGACAGTATTGGTCTCAACGCTATTTCCAAAGCACCGATTTACAACCAAAGCTAAAAAGAGACTATTTAACCTATCATGTGTAGGATTTGAGTGCCTCTAATTTGAACCAACTACTTTGTGCAATCTTATTGAACAAAAAATAAGATTGAGCGCTAAACACGAGAAGGAAAAGAGCGAACCCCTTTCCCCCTTCCCTTTTTTTTCCTGTCCAAATGACCCTAGACGGATGAGTACGGACAATGGAGTGGATAATGATCATCTTCAAATTTTAAGTCGATCGACACGACAGAGTATACTCCGTAGTAGGATTTGTCGTTGTGTTCCAAGTGGAGGACACAGGGCTTGGCGAGCCCAATGAGCCCAGAGCCCCTGAAAAAGACACCTCTTATAATGACATGGTGCCAACACATAACACCATGTGCCAATGTAGTTATATGTTGTAAGGCTAAGAACACGAATGAGTGAGCATCGAATGACTCACCTCCTCCCCAGACTCTACGCCACGGAGTCGAGATTCCCAACACAGTAGGCCCGAGCGACGATCGTTTTTCGTTCCTGAATAGAACCACGGAAACGATCTACAGAGCCTTTAACATAGGAAGTAGTACTCCGTATGTATAACACAAAAAGTTTCTTTCTAAATAGTGTGGGAACCGGGCAAATTGCGGTAAATTTCAGTATTGGGGCGAACCACCGGAACCATTTTAAGGCAGGTAAGATGTCAGATCAGGACCCAAGTCAATTCCTCCATAAACTGTCTGTAATTGTTATGTCTAAGGTTGTTCTTCCTGCGCATGACGCCAGGGGTCCGGAAAAGACGGAAGTGCCCGCGAGGGAGTGAACACTTGCAGTAGCATGTGATGTCCAGCGAGAATCGTCATTCTAACTATCACTCTAGGGGTAATAAAACAGCAAAACAACAAAGTAAGCAAAATAAGCAAAGGCGCCACTGGAAACAGTTCTGAACATAGGAAGTGGCGTAATTACACCGGAGTATACGGAGTACGAGGCGAAGAATTCTCGTGTTTGCTGCACCAAGGGACACAGTTTGAAATCACGAGCAACAGATGTAAATAAGCCCAACTATGGCATTTAACTACTCTTCATACGATAATCACAGACTTTACCCCTGGCGTCTTTGTTGTAGAGTCTGTGCGGAAAACCCTTTGGTATTTAGGGCTTCAGATGTTATAGTTCGGTCTGAATGGAGCCCAATCTTCCAGGGTCGTGTTCAATGGACCAATAGGAAGGTTATGTTTCACTTGCAAATCAAACAATAATACAAGAGAGCAAATACAAGACCAAAACAGAAGCGCCACAAGACTTCTTTGACTGAATGGCTCTTTTCCCCAGGTTCGAGACTTTATTTAGCCCCGGCCATGCCCTAAATTTCCTTTTTTTTTTCCCTTTTTCCCTAGACGCAGAGATTTCTCTTATATACACTCGTTTCAGTCACTCTTTATACTGTCTGAGCAGCGCTCCACACGATCTTTATTGAATCTCTCTTTTGACGCTCACTCTTTTGCGATCAAATTTGAAACATCTATTCTCATCTTGGCGCCATATCAACGCTTCACCAATCTTAAATCCAATTCAATCACTTTGCTCCCTCTTCCGTATTGATATCTACCTTCGAATCAATTCGCAAAATGAAGTTCACCACCATCGTCGCCTCCCTTTGCCTAGTTGCGGCTCCATTCGTCGCCGCAGAGGAGACCATTACCTCGACTGCAACCACGACCGTTACTAAGACTCTGGTTCGCGTCAATTCGGTGACCCCAACTCCTACTCCCATCACGACTTCCATCACGACTTCCGTCGCGGGTACCATGGCGAGTACCATCGCAAATCCTAGCCCAAGTCCCAGCCCAAGTTCCAGCGCGAGATACCTGAGCACCATGTCTGTTTCGACGTCGACTCCCCTCTCTCGTGTGGCCTCCACTACTTCTGCTGTTCCAGCCGCCACCTCCATCGGCGCAGCGGCCAACATTGGCGCCGGCATGCCAGCTGCCTTGGCCGTCGCTGGCTATATCGTTGTGATGGTGGGCCAAGCCTTGTAATTACAATCGCGCCTTCTCGGCAAGAAGCCTTCATGCAGGCAACGATCATGAATTGGAGCCACTGCCATACTGCGCCCAGTTCATACTGCATGACTTGCTGCCTTGTTGATTGCCGTTTATCTCTAGCAGAGCCGGGATCTTCTTCTTTTTTCTTCTTACACTTTAACATTTCTATTCCTCTCGGTCAGCTGAAGAACCCGTTTTCAGAGAGGAAATGGCTTAACGCTTTTTTCAAATACCCCATTTTTTTCACTTCATTATGACTTTTTGGACCGATATGAGTTGATGCTGTTATTATTCTCTTCTTCAAACCCTGTTGATTCAATTCTTTTGTCCATATACGTTGTCATGGGTGACCTGCTAGTTGTCAGACTGGTCTGGCTGATATCCAGGACTTGCATGAGTCGAGTTTGAGTCATCCACAGAATATAGACACCTTTCTTCTTCTCCTTTGATGCCAATTCCAACTATAAACACCAATAGCAGCGACGTGGTAGAAAGATAGAGAAGATCGTGTCGATCCGACATTCCAGTGGGGAAGCCGTGAGCTCCGGGGTCAACTGATATGCCCGTGCACGTGTGCTGTGATCTTATCTCTTGATCTGATCTTCTTCCATTCCAACCGGGAAGCTGGTTTTCTTCCAAAATATAAGATGCCTCTCAATTGATTCCAATCGATCCTATCCCCTTATCTCTCCCAATCGCGCCATCCATTAGCGCGTTTGTTGACACCCGCAGGTCTCCATCGCGGGTCTCCACAAGGACCACAACGCGTCGCGCAACTCCGAACATCAGATCGAAACCGTGTTAGAATAGAAACCCAATGATCTAGGCAGAGAACTATAAGAGACTCGTCTGAATCCGCGAACTGAGATCGCAATGGACAGCGAGATCCCCCTCCCACCGTCGCGGCGAGTCCGGCACCGCTCACCCGTGAAGAATCCCTCAGCGACAGGCGCAGCGGTCTCGTTCCAGCGCGCACAGCGACTATCACGCTTCGACGACCGCTCTAGTCAGCCATCCAGTGATCCTGCGCTTTTCTCAAGTGACGATATCCCGGCTTCCGGGCTGGAGAACTACCATGCGCCAGTATCGGGCGCGGGACGGAAACGGCGGTATCGAGGGACCTGGTGGGGGGAGCAGGTGCTGGATCCGAAGCGGAAAAGGGCAGACTTTAAGGATAAGAGGAATGTTGATAGTGGTGTGTGGATGGGGAGTGATGAGTCGGTTGCTGAGTCGCTTTTGCCGTCGGAGGATGGCTCGGCGTGGGGGGAAGACTTGCGCAAGTCTGTGCTTGATCCTAGAAAACCTGGAAGCTCTATACCTGTCAGTATTGAGACAGAGAACATGTCTTCACAGACTCGCATTGCATTCAAAAGTCCCGAGGAATCCGATCCTCATCGGTTTGCCCGGGAGGTTATCGGTGATTGTCTTGATAAAGGACATGAAAGCATTGACCTGGGGTATGTGCTAATGCCATTTTCATCTGATGTCCCTTTTCACCCATGCCAATGATCCTAATAGCTTTGTCCTATGCAGTGAATTCAATCTGGGAACTATACCACCCGGTCTTCTACTACCCCTACAGCACTTGACGAAGCTTCCATCAGTCAAGAAAGCCCCGGTCTCAGAGAACGTCTTCACGTCTCTGCAGCCATTCCTCAGCATATATCTCCCCAACAACTCTCTATCAACCCTGCACAAAGATCTCTTCGAGCTCAGCAACCTTAAAGTCCTCAGCCTGCGAAACAACAAGCTGGCCGAAATCCCATCTACAATCTGCAAACTGACAGCACTGGAAGTTTTGAACCTTTCCGTCAATCAGTTGACCTACCTTCCCTGGGAGGTTCTCAAACTCATCCAGCAAGGCGAACTGAAACACTTGACCGTACGCCCGAACCCATTCCTCACATACGACAAAGCGAAGATCGCAGAACGGCACTACAACAACAAAGAAAAAGAGAACCACGAGGACTTGTCTCCTGCGGTCCAATCGCACACGGAGAGGTGGGGTCCTCTCCACCTCGCAACAGGCACGATCACCTACATGGACATGGAGGGCAATCCTATGGGAGACAGCCCATCCAGCAACAGACTCACTCTCACACCAGGATTGGCATCTCCTGTAAACGACGCCCCATCCCTCCGTGAAGTCGCGCTCCGTGCTGTGAGCAAGCTTCCTTACCTGGAGCAAACCACCGATGAAGAGCTGGCCGAGTATCCGGCGCTGATTGTGCCCTTGCTGCAACAAGCGAGGGAAGTGCGTGCTGCTGGTGGAAAGTCCTGCTCCGTATGCCAGCGGGAGTACGTGATTCCCCGTGCTGAATGGATGGAGTGGTGGGACTTGATACCGTTCGAGAATGGAATGAAGATGCCCCGCTGTCCGAATGAGATGCTTCGGCCTTTACCGTTCCGGCGGTTCGCTTGTAGCTTGTCGTGTGTGCCGGGATCTTGTTGAACTTGGCATTGACTTTTGTTTTTTTCCGGGGTGATGGGCTGCTTTTCTCTTTTTTTTTCTGTGATTTCTTTTTGTATGTATTTGGCTTGCATGTTTATATTGGAGTCACTCTGTAGAAATTATGACAACTTCATTTACAACCTTGTGGATGTGAGGTAGCTTGGATATCAGATCAAGCCGATGATGACCTTTGTCAACCGCCGGACGCCAGCTTAAGTCCTTTTTCCACCTTAAATCCTCGAAATGGAAGCCCCAATGCTGACATACCATATTAACTCCGCCCTAAGTCCGAGGCACGCAGTAATAGAACGATATAAGAGACATGCTATTCTGATATTATGATACTGTAATCATAAGTTTATCGCAAATCAACATCACAACAGTCAAATCTTTACCACCATCATCCAACACCTGTCACAAACCACCATGGCCACAGAAGCACCAACATTCACCAAACCCAACCGCCCGCTAGTCTGGCTTATAACCGGCTGCTCCTCGGGCCTGGGCCTCGCACTGGCACGCGCCGCCCAATCAAACGGCCACAAAGTACTTGCAACATCACGACAACCCTCTCGCACCCCGGAGATAGTATCGGAGATAACCCAAAACGGGGGCGAATGGCACACACTAGACATTGACAGCCCAACCGCCGCTTCTGAGCTGGTATCCAAGCTCGAGTCTACACACAAGATCGACGTGTTGGTCAACAACGCCGGATACGCGATCCTCGGGGCAGTGGAACAGTTCTCGGACAAGGAGCTGCGGGCCCAGATGGAGACTGTGTATTTTGGACCAAATCGGCTGATCAGAGCGATTGTGCCTGGGATGAGAGAAAGACGGTTTGGGGTTGTTGTTAATGTCAGCTCTGGGGCTGGAGTGGAAGGGAGAGAGAGTATGGGTGCTTATGCGTCGGCGAAGGCTGCTATGGATGGTACAGTTCTCCTTTTTCTCTTTCTTCTGCCGAGGGATGTCTCGTTTATGTGTTGATGTGTATGTTCCGCAGGTTTATGTAAAGCCCTCGCTAAAGAAGTCGCGCCCTTTAACGTCCGTGTCCTGACGGTATGGCTGGGAGCGTTCAACACGCAGTTCGGGGCTGGTTGTCGTTCCCCCGCTGAGCCTTTACCGGTCGACTATGTCGGCTCTGTGGTTGCGCAGACGCTGGATGTTTTACAGACTGGTAATTTTGTCCCTGATGGCGATACGGATAAGGCTGTGAGGGCGATGTATGAAGTCATCGTTGGTGAGGGCGTGGGTGTTGGACGTGAGAGTGAGTGGTTCTTGCCTTTGGGTCGGGATATGATTCCTCGCCTTGAATTGGCGCGTGATCGACTGGTTCATACACTTGATGTGTTTGGGGATATTGCTAGGAATGTCTATGTTGAGAAGGAATGAGGTTGAGCGTTTGGTCTGAGTGATTGAATCGAGGTGTGGTTTGAGCAGCTTCGATTACTATAAATTACAAACAAGTGCAGCTGCGGAGGCCATGTTGGTAGGCGATTATTCAGTGTCAATAAACTAGAGGATGGTAGCATAGCAATAGTATTATGACAGCCAAGTGTCAATGAAATCCATTCAAACACCCATTCTACCAAAAGAACATAAGAACATACACGATTTGAACGACTGACCTGCGGTATATTCCAGCCGCTTCAACAATCCTTGCAGCCACTTTGCAACCGCCCAGCAAGCCGAACTGTTCTCACCAAACGCCAAGCAGATCCAAATCATAAGAAACTCCAAACGACCGCTAATACAGCATGCTTCAATACAAGGAGAGCAAATTCCACAGGACAGAGGGGGGAATGTTTTAATGAAAATCGAAAAGAGTGGATAGAATATAGATGTTAGCGATTGCGGTCTGCGCGAGCCTGGTGCCATATGGTGTCGCCACTCAGAGCAGAAAAGCTAAGGGTAGCGAGGTTTCGCCAGCTTGACTGTGGGGCAGAATTTGCATGGTCGCCAGGTAGACCTGCATTTTGTTCCGTATCTGAAGCATCGTCATTGACGCCCTCAATTGGTACTGGAGCGGAAGATGCGCTGCCTCTAGAGATTGACTGGACGCTGCGAACATCATCAAGAGACTGCTCACGATGACCCCGAGAATCGCCGGATTGACAATGAGCCAACGAACGGACAACATCGCCCTTACAGATTGGACAAGTTCGTCGACGAGTGGTCAACCAGGGGGTACTGAGAAAAGAGGTTAGTAAAACTTCGCAACCAAGACAAAAAAATTCACGTCACTTACATGCATTCCACATGGAATTCATGGCCACATGGCAAACTCATGACCCGGCTCTGACCATCGATGTATTCCTCAAGACATACGACACACTCCACCTGCCTTCCTGTGTACTTCCGTCGCCACAAGGTAGATCCACCTTGCAGGTTGCACTTCTCTTCTTTGGGTACGACAGATGAGTCTAGTATAGTGCCCGAGAATGTTTGTGAACGTGATCTATTGGATCGGGATGCGCTTGGTCGGCTATCTGTGCCAAGGAGTGGAGAAGTCGGGGATAGAGGACTGGGACTGGAGGGGCGCGTTGAGTTGGAAGACGAGGACGAAGTGGTGGCAATTGTGTGGTAGGTTCGGACAGGAAGTCGTTCGATAACCGACTTCGGGGCACGCCAGCGACGACGGCGGATTCGAGACCGGATCAGCAAAAGGGCATAAACCACCGTCAGTGTGAGCAAAGGGCTGACGACAAGTACCAATAGAGTATCGAAAAAGGGGCTGGTGGACATGCTGGTAGGTGTCATTGTAACCCAAAGACCTTCGTGTTCGGAAGACTCCGCGCTGAGACGGCTTGATGTGGGAGCGTTGTTTTGTTTCTGCTCGTTGGTTGCAATACTTTTCTGGAGTGAAGGCGACGAAGAAGGCTGAGGGTCTTGCTGAGTATCATCTCCCCATCCAAAGTGACTCGAGAACCAGCCCTTCGTGGAAGAAGATCTGGACTTCCCATGAGTTCCGATGGTTTCTTTCTCAGACCCCTTGCGGTGCGTGTCATGAGAACCAGCACTGGATTTCTCGAAGCTCTGGTATTCTCCACTTCCTGGTGTGATGCTACCACCCTGAAGACCGTTGGGCGAGGAAGAGGCATCTTTATCCGCACTGGCAGTCTTGGAGGTATCCTTGCCAGTTGCAGGGATGCTAGTTGTCGGATGGGTGCTACTCTTAGGGGGCATCAAGTCAGGATCTCTCCAGTCCTGAACCCCGATGACAAAGTCATCATCCTCAAGACCTTCAGTGGACATGTCGGCCTTGTGCTTGTCGAATGTGTCGTCTACCTTGGCCCGACCATGATGATTGAGATCTGTTGATCTCCTCCAAGCGCTCGACGGGGCTTCTTTTTCATTCCGTGAGCCTAGGTTGATCCAATCAATGTTGCCGCTGCTAGGCGGACGTCGGCTGTCTTCTAGACGTCGCGAACCTCCGTTCTTATCGCACAATCCCAAGAATGCACCAATTGCACGGAAAACCCCGCCTTCCGAGTGAGAAGAGGGTGCAGGTTTCTCCTTGGTTGTCGAATGGCTGCTGGCAGTCGGACTAGGAAAAGTTGTTGTTGCGGTAGTAGTTGCCACCCGTTCTTTATCGGCTTCAGCTTGTCCTGCCAGCTTCGCTTGTGATGATTTTACTACATCTTCTAAACCGGCAGTTCCACCTGTATGCCCAGGAACCAATGACGATAGAAGATGAGCAGTAGTGTGAGATGTGAACAAGGCCGGGATCGTGACGTTCGATGTATCGCCTCGTGCGTACATAGTGACCAAGTTGCCACCCCGGGTATCATCGCCGACGATCAAAGCAATCCCTCCTCGTCGTTGTGCCCATTTGGCCTTCTCCAAAAACCCACAGCCACCCCGACTCAACAGCACTACTTTACCCTGGATTTCGGCAGTTTCCTGTAGCGATTGGATGTCGGCATGCGCAGGCGGCTTATTTTGGACGTAATCTCCATATTTCTGATTCATCCCGGGGTTAGAAGAACCAGATTCAGGGAGTGGATGGTGTAGATGGTCGTCAGTGCCATCGTTCGTCAAAGGCGGGGTAGTTGAATCTCTATCGTTCTGCGTAGTATCGACCTGCGACACCGACCGCGGGCGGTTTGAGGATTGATCATTCACTGTACTTCCCCCGGAGATCCCGGAACTCTGCTCCGCGGCTCTAGAGGTTTTATCTTGTTTCTTATGATTTTTGCTCTCACCCCAGCCGGGGATATCGGAGCAGCCCAGTTCTCCTTCCACACCACCAGCTAATCCCCCCTCACCAAAGCCACTTCCCACCCATAGCTGACCGCTAAGGCCTTTGGTTGGCAGTAGGGAGCCAAATGCCGCTGGTCGGGCGAGAAAGAAGGTCGAGTTGTCATCGGTGAGACTGATAATAGCCGACGGGGGAAAAAGGGACGATGGTATGTTAAAAGAAAACAAAGCTCGCAGCCCAGTTTTCTGACCAGCGAGAGTATTAGGAGCTACATCGGGTGATGTAAGCGCGGAAAAGAAGGTGAGGAGGATCGGGAAGAAGATAAGGCAGAAGAGTACGATGAGCAGGCGTGGCGGTCGCATGTCTCTGATAGATGGGTTTAGCCTCTTCTACCGTAGAGTGGCTTAATCGGAGATATCTAATCACTGCAAAATGGGGTGGATCAAGTGAATGATTGACGATGCCAGCGGCTCCGCTGTACCACAGTACTTTGGGTGGACTCTTTTATGACCAATCCAACAATTGGCGGCAAGCTAGCAGGCGGCCACTCATCGAGTACAATGGGCAGCACTATGGCTGGTTGAAGAAAGTCGACAGATGACAGCCAACGCGAGTGTAGGGAAGCCAAACCGAACAAGGAGTCAGATAGACAGGAGGGGAGTTCAAGTGAAGTCAGGTGGAGAAGGGGAAATGAACTCATGATGTGGATTATCTAACCCCGGGTAAGTGACGGCATGTCCGCCGTGTCATGTGTTGGAAGCCTAAGGCATTTATTGGCCTTGGTGCCTCAAACCACACGACCTTAAATCACATACCGAGTCACTATGTAGAATATGTAACTATTAGACCTTGGTGCTATACTGGCTCAGCTAACGACTTGCATATCCTCCGCTCATTTATAGCATCAGGCGCTTAATATGTGAAAAGAAGACTCCAACAAGTATTGTGAGAGAAATCGACAAATGCTGTAACTCGTACAATGTCACAATATATTAGCAAGATGGCATGGTGCGTTTTTGCCCCCTCATTTGGATCTCGCAATAACAGACACGTATTGTAGATTTGATATACTCCGTACCGAGTCGATTTGATATCGCTTCCAAGGTTCTCGAGCTACGCCGATCATGCCATCACCTCCAGGGCTGGGCACTGCTAGGCAACTCCATAAGCCACCCCCTTTTCCAGTTTTGATTTGAAGCAGCGCTATGAATGTGTGCAACATCATAGACTGTATGTTGTAGTATCCGATCGAATCAGCTAGTATACTCTATGTCCAATGTTAAAACAAGTTCAAGGCACACCCGTCAGATATTTTTGGACTTGACGATCGATAAAGCTTGTCCCCACTTGCCATATTTGGATTAGCGTGGGAAATTATGTAACCCCTCATATGACGTGTATATACTAAAGGGGACTAGTGGATATTGCAGGAATCTTTCGAGAATCTCTTCGTCTGCCTTCGATACGTTTATTATGTCTATAAGAGACTAATAATAACACCCTAGACTCTTCTTATAAAGACACAAGATAAGCTCAGAGCTAAGCTTCCATGGTCCACGATATAGCAATGTCAAACTCAGAGAATTATTGGCACGAAAGTCTGGAAAACCCACTCGAAATGAAATCTCAGTCGGCGAGTAGATCGACAGCATATCCTTGTAAGACTTGGCTCAGTGGCGTGTTGGTCTTGAAGATCCGGGACATGACGATGAATGACATTAAGATAGCTCGCATTTTCAGCCAAGACTATGAGTCTGTATGTGTAAAGTTTGTTTGGGACGTCATGACAGTTGTAAACAGGGCAGTGAAGGAGTTCTCCATGTTTCACCGGTGATTATACTCGTGGAGCCCCCGCGTTATGGCGTCACTCAGTCTCCACAAGTAGGGATCAACTCATGAGCTGGTCAAGACACGCAAAGACAATAGGGTATATAAACCGGCTATGGAAGCACATTATCTTCCACTTCTTCCTTAAACAAACAATCATCTGACTCGAACAATAGTCAGACTTCCAACTACAACTCCTTCCAAATCTTTCACCTTACTATCAAAACACTACTATCATGTCGAACATCATTCACAAAGTCAAGGATGCCGTGACCGGTCATCATCATGATGAGTCGAAGACATCCAGCAGCAAGACTGATGGTTCGTTGTTCCTAGAAAAAAAGCCATTGCAGTGTGATGCTAATTATTCTATTAACATAGATACCCGGGATACTTACGGATCCTCGGACAGGACTACGGACAATACTTTTAATAGAAACACTTCTACCGGCGCAGGCTCCAACACCTATGGCTCTGGCTCTGGCCCCGGCTATGAGACCTCATCCACAACCGGTGCTGGAGGTCACGGTAGTGGCATTGGCACTGGCATTGGCACTGGCACTGGCACTGGCACTATCCATGATTCCCGCAAGGGTCCAATTGATGTCGGCCCAGGAACGTCCGAGAACTACGGATCAAACACTGCTGGCGGATATGGCTCATCCAACACCGGCTCCAGTAAGATCAATGCTGGTCCCCATGACTCTAAGCTAGCCAACAAGGCCGATCCCCGTGTCGATAGCGATCTCGGTAAGTTTAACTTGCCCCTGGAAAACATACTAGAGTCATTTATCTAACATGGAAACATAGACAACCGGGGCTCCACCAGCACCTTTGGCAGCGGCACTGGCCGTTCTAGCGAAGTGACCGACTATGGCTCGAACGACAAATACGGCAGCACCACTGGCCACTCTGCTAAACAGACCGGTTATGGCTCTAGCAACCCTTTGTCTAGCGACGACAACTACGGCAGCACCGCCACTGGACAGACTGGCTACGGCTCCAGCAACCCCTTGTCTAGCAACACCACCACTGGACAGACTGGCTACGGCTCCAGCAACCCTTTGTCTAGCAACGACAATTACAGCAGCACCACCACTGGACAGACCGGTCACAGCTCGAACAATCCTTTATCTAGCAGCCAGAACTACAGCACTACTGGGCAATCCGGCGGTGGCAACAGCTACACAGAAACCTCGAAGACTGGGAAGACCTCTGGTCCCCACAGCTCCGATCTATTGAACAAGCTTGACCCTAGAGTCGACGCGGATGAGACGGTTTACAGCGAGCGCAAATACTAGGCGATTGATGAGTGTGATGTTATATGAAATTTTCTAGGCTGTCTTCATAGCTTGAGTAATTTATGAGAATGATCAAACAATGTTAATATCAATCTACTTTTTTGTTATATCTCACTGCATTCGAATGATCGTCAATTCAAGTTGGTCAGGATAAATAATTGAAGATACATTTGCAAACATTTTCGGCTCATGCTTCGTAATTATATAGATCGCTTTTCGTTACATACACAAAGCACGTATCTTTTAAAACTACTAACTGCTTTTTTTCACTACCTTTACTTGTAGATGACTACACGTGACTACATTTGCCCTCACTCTGCCTCTTCCCAATCAGACCTGGCACAACACATTAGATGATATAAATGAAAATGTCCTTTTCGGGAGGATGCGATATAACCAAGACTTCCTCCGTGATTCCCTTGGGCATGGTGTACATGTGGTAGGGTGATGATCAGAAGATATATCCAGAAACTTATCAGACCAGATATCGTAGTATTGCGTTCAGTTCAACGGCTTGATATTGTTTCTAAATGATTTGAAAATTCAGGTTATTCAACACGTCAGACCGTCAATTCAAGAAGAAAGACCACATAATCGGCCGAATAAGCCCGGAAACATGCAAGAGATTAAACAGAAACACAAAGTGTGGCTGTCAACCCTTCAACTACACCGAAGTATATTAACGAAGAAACGGCCAGCGTATTCCACCCAGCGAGCGTATGACGCCCTAATCCTGCCCAGGTGGGGCACTAAGGTAAAGTGCGCGGCCAAGCATCAAGTACATCCATAAAGACCTAAGCTAGATCCCACAAAATACTAACTAATGCATTGTATCGATTCATCAAAAAGCATAGAAGAAGAATAGAACCAGGCCAGGCTATCAGTCAAGACAGGACTGCCTCTGGTGCGCTGTACTTACTGCATTAAAGCGAGCAGAGCTCGAGCACTCCAACAATTATACGTTCTTCTGTCAGGAAATCAACTAGTGCCGATTGCTACAAGATATTGTGTGCCTAATACCGAGGAAGAGAAAAATGGAAAAGAAGGAAAAAGAAATTCATAGACCCGAAACTGGGCACACTGTCTCACACGAAATAGAAGAATAAAGGAATCATCACGAATATCAAAGGGCAGTGAAGCATTCCCGAGGGAACAAAAAAAAACAACGCAGAGCCATCAATGTATGGTTGATCAAGTCAATCGCCAAGACGCCGTGTAGATTTGTTCATCGGGTATGCGAATGCATATTACAGAAAGGGTAATATTAGGACAAGAGAAAGAAACAACGTCATGAAGGTTGCCATACGAAGGTATCATGGATTTCGGAGCTGAGTTGGAATTAGCAGGACACTAGGTTCACATGATGGTCATTCAATGCGGCGCAGGCAAGCACAGTCCGGTGGGGATGGAAGGCAGTGCAGGCAATGGGCGAGGATCGATTGTGATGAAGGAAGCTCGAGTATGGCTCAAACGTAGAAAGATAGGTGCCATCCACATTGAAAGTCTTGACTTCGTGGCGATTTGTACCCCTGCGTTATGTTAGCGTACAACAAACATTAGAATATGGCGGCGGAGGAAACGTACACGCTGAAAACAGGAGCGTGCTCGTGAACACTTAAGGTCCGCAGGGTGTCTTTAGTAGCATAGATGGTGGAGATCGGGCTATCCATGCGAAGATCCCAAAGTCGGACTTCACCATTTCGGCCACCTGATATCAATTCTCGTAGACCGCCACGCTGCATATGAACATTTGTAATCCATTGCTTGTGCTCGCGCCAAACTTTGACCATGGATGTGGTTGGCTTCAACCGTTGATCAAAGACTCGGACAGCACCATCACCGAAACCGGCAACGAATATATTGCCCGCCACTTGGTCAGATGTCAAGGATGTGATGCAGGAGCCCGATCTTGCCGGAATGTCCTGTCATTGAGCTTTTGTGAGTAACGTGGTATATTTGCGAGACAAGACATTGAATACTTACGTTTGTGCACACCTCAGTAGCAGCATTCCAGACGCGGATAACCTTGACATCACCTGCAACTAGAGCTTTGCCCTGACCTTGCTGCCAATCAAGCACAAGGCCTGCGTTACGATTGCTTGGAATCAGTTCAGGAAGGGCTCTAAAGGCTGTGACCACTTCAATCTTCTTATTAGTCTCGTAATGGCGGAAAAGCTTGATCACGCCGTCCGAAGATCCAGTCATAAGCAGGGCTTGGTCGTCCTCATTGATGTATCGAACTTCGTTGATCTTTGACCCGACCGGGTTGCCATTTGAGAATTGATTGAGGCGTTTGTGGCTCTGCCAGTCCCAGATTCTATACGAAACTAATGGTTAGGAGATAATGAAGAACAGGTGACTTGTTGTACCCACGAGATTGTATCCCGGTCATCTGCGACAGCAATGTGATCCTCAAATTGATGGAAGCACATCTTGTGGGGCTGGCTACCATTCGATAGCAAAGCGATCGAGTTGTCCCATCGGCTTGCTCCAGCTTTTCCTTTGAGGGGTTGGGTTTCAGCAATGATCTTTTCGTTGCGGCCGCGTCTCCAGAGGCGCTGGTTATAGTCGGAGCTACCGGGCTCATCCGGCTCGTTGGGTTTCATTTGGGGCTCCCGGAAATACTTCGAAATTGTGAGTAATTGCTGGTAATCATAGTTGTGGGAGAGAAAGGATTCAAAATCCGGAATTACCTCGGTCGACCAGTCGAGGAATCGACTCTTTAGGGGAATAACGGGCACGACATCAATGCCCTTGGGTTGGAACCCTCGGGATGTGGGAATCGGAGCCTGGTGGTACGCTGTTGCGGGAGCAACATGATCATTTCCTTCCGGGGGTCGGGTCCACTCAGGAGGGGCGCGGCCGCGTGGGGTAATTGTCATACGGCTGGTTGAAGGCGAAGGGGGGTTTGAATTATCTGAGGATAGGTCTGGCGACGAATTGCCAAAAGCAAGGTTTTTCAGGGAAGCAGCGACGCTGGCAGTTCGCCTAAAACCCAAAGAAAGATAGCCTTCTTGTCTCGAAGCTGCTGCTCCAGACAAGGGAGGCGTTGCAGGTGGCACGGTTTTCTTCACCTCAGTTCGCTCGCGAGGTTGGGATTTCGTCAAGCCTGTGACTTCTAGAATCTCGTTCTGAAGTTTGTTAGTAAGTGGCGCCATTGGGGATTCTAGCAAGGCAAGGTGAATGTAATCAACGATAACGGCGGCATCCTGGGCGATGTCAGGATGAGGATCAACCGAGAGAGCCAGCAGCTGCTTCCAGATTGTTCCGAAAGTAGTATTGCGAGACAGCTGGGGGTGTTTCGCATGAGAAACTAATGCTCCAGTTTGTCCTTCGGCGCGCCTAGTCTTAGAGTTTTCGTTCTCCCAGCGATGACACAGGGACCGCTTTTCTTCCTCAAGCTCCTCAAATGCTGCGACCAAAAATTTGTTTTGGTGGCGTCTGACGAATGTTGAGAAGAACACTAAAAGCTCCTTCCTAACGACCACACTCCCATCGGCAGACATGGGCAAGACTGCCAGGGCTAAAGTCTCCTCGATTTGTGCAACTTGGTCAGTCAGATCTGGAATTCCCAAGAACGTAGTCACAGCGTGAAGCATGGCGGCACGAACTTCGGGTACAGGGTCGAAATTCAACTCGCAGAGCCTAGCGGGAGCTGCACATCGAATGCCCATCCACTTTGCTTCGGGGAAATCGCACCAGAGCATACTGAGACACAGACAAGACCACTGCCGTAGCAGAGGATTTTCCACATCCCCGAGATGCCTGAGACACGAATCAAACAGCTCGACAGAAAGGCAGACGTTCTGTCCCTGAGGGTAGTTTTTGCAGAAGATTGAGACTATGAAAGCACACATAGCCCGGTGTTCGCTGGCGTTGCCCACAGGAATGGGCGAAGAGGGATTCAGAATTGAGATAAAGTAGTGAATGCCGTTATCTTTGAGTAGATCATTTTGTACAGTGTGGTCGACTGCCATGATTCTCGCCCAAATGAAAACCATAACGGGTTTCAATTCTTGAGCTGCTGATTGTAGCAATTTGACGACATAAGGGAATATGCCAATGCTCAGTGCAAGGTGGACAGCCCATGGTCCGAGATCCAGGAATTTGCTCAAAAGAATCAAGGCCCGCAAGCGGTGTGCCTGACTCAAGAGAACCTGGAGGACAATAGGAAGCTGATCCGGTGGATTCTTCTCTGTAGGACCGGACGACAGATATACCTCAAAAGCAGTGAGTTGCTCAGCGAAGAACGTTGAGTGCTGGTACTCGTACTGCTGGCGTCCTTCATCATGATCAATGAGAGCAGTTAGTTGAGATAACACCATCTCGACTGCGAGGTCCCAGCTTTTCCATAGAGGGTGATGATGTGTGTCTGGCAATTCCGGCGAAGATATCGGATGGCATTTGTATGTGCGCATGATGCGTTCGCTGAGTAAAAAGTTGCGGAAAAGAGCGGCGACCATAAGATCTTGGCGGAAGAGCTTCTTGAACAAAGCCCGAGGTAAGGTGTTCCACGCAATCGTATCGGTAATTGCAGTGAAGATCCAATTCAGCTCCCCAAGAGGGCTTCGGCGATCTTGTAGGCGACCGGGAACTCGGAAGTCATCAATGGGAATGTTTGTGCGTAAAGGGTTCTGCAAGATGAAAAAGCGCAATGCGATTTCAATCGGTGTTGTCAAGCAACAGGTGAATAGGTCTGCAGGAAGGTCGGGATTGGTCGGAAGGGACTCCGTCTTCTGGCACGCAGCCAGGAGGATACAGTCACCATAATTCTGAAGGACGGCATTCGGGTCTCGTTTCTTGGTTTCAATATTTTCTTTCTCATGCTTCTCAACAAAAGTGTGGAAGTTTTGGACAATGTTGCCCGCATGTGAAACATCAAAGACAAAAAGACTAGGCCCGGCTAGCCAAGACTGCAGATCATACAGTGGGACAGGGATATACTGGGTATAATTCTTGTTGAAGACCCAGATCTCACCCGACTGAGTTGGTAACGGCACTCCGTGTCCGTTGTAATGCAGAAGCACTCGCTCGTCCTTGGCATTTCGGCGAAGTGAGATGCAGAATTTCTTGGTCTCGTCAACTGATGGATCCAGATACTGTTTGTATCTTGTCCGAAGACTCAAAGTCTCATATTGCTCCTGTAGCTTCTTGCCAATCTGCTCCATGATCTTGTTTTGACCACCACCTGTGGTAGAACTCGGATCCACCCAGCATTCAAGCTTTGATGTCGGGTTCGTCTTGACCACGTCGGGAGGATCGACTCCGATGTTCAGACAAATTGCCAAAGCCGCAGACACAGTTTTCAGGCGGTCTTTCATGCGCCAGTCCTGGCTTGGCCAACTCCCGACTGGGTCCCTGGGAATACCGTTGGTCTCGTGGCGTTTCTCGGTGAAATACATGTAGAAATTCTATATCCAGCGGGTATTTATATTAGCTTCCGGAAACTCATGATCAGAGTGGTCATTCTCACAGAATGCAAGATCTTGAGATATTCACTGGAGGTATATTCCTCCTGCCATCCATGTCGCATAGCGAAATCTTCGTCGTCATCGCCCGCCACTTTATCGAAGGTTATCCGACTTGGTCCATAATCACTTTTAGCTCTCTTCAGCATAGCCGGTCGGCTACTCTCAGATCTCCGAGGCGATGGACGGCGAGGTGGGATCTCTCCGATGGCAATGTTCTCTCCCGAAGAGCTGGTTGGGCGCCCGTGTGGCGTCAGTGTGGGCTGCTTGTGTTCAACTGCTGTGAGCGAACGATGATGGCTACTCAACGGGGCTGGAGATCTTTCGCGGGTGGGAATCGTAGTCTCTAAGTCGGGACCAAACGCGACGCGGACCGATTTATTCGGATTGCGACGCGAGGCCGTGGACCCGTTGGTCGTCTGCTGTGAGTTTTGTTCCATATCGGTAGTGGGATCCCTCATGTTGTATGATTGTTCATTGTGTTACCCGAGTATAGGGGAAGAGGGAGGGCTGAAAGATATGTCAAGGCAAGCTGCGAGTATCCCCGCTCGGTCATCGGTCACAACCAGTGAGTTTCCTCCTTGAGTTCCCTCGTGTGGGTCTGGGTGTTGTCGACTGAAGCTGGGGAAGAGATAGATGATGAAATGGCCGGGGTGACCTTGGAGTTGGTCAAATTTGTAGTGATAGACTGGTCTCAAATTGCGACTGCCCTGGAGATATTCCAGGAGCGCGGAGAGAGCTCAGCGCACAGTCTATGAATTCTGGTCCAAATAGAGCTAATCTGCCAGGTCTAGAGCGGATGTGGTTCGGAGAGGCGAGATGGATGCGGAAACACAGATATTCCGGGGATTACTCAGAATGATGTCTTGGCATTCAGAAGTATAGACTCAAATGTGTAGTTTTCTGGCGCGTCGTTCTACAATATGACAGAGGCAATTATGACCTGTAAATGGTCAATAGCTCTTTCTTCCAACGTAGTCAGCTTTGAATGCCTATCTATAGAGTGTATGAACCACGAAATCTTAATTGGAGATGTTGAATGCGGACACCAGCCTAGAAGCAGGTAGGAATTTGCTTACATCACGGAGTACTACGGTTAGTTAGTTAACTATCTGGGTAGGACAAAATTTAGGAACATATCAGTTAATTTTGCTGTAATCTAAGAGAGATATTGTATGGTGGAAATGTCTAAGACAGCAATCATAGGGGACATCAAAGGTTTCACCTAAGAAAGGATGGACATCCAAAATCTGACACGTCGATTCTTATACAAAATAGCAGACCAAAAAGAAAAAGCAAGAAAGACGTAGCCAATGAAGATAGATTACTGCAAAAGTACATCAGTATCAAGAGGCTCATCCCTACAATAACCCTAGAGCCGGGAAACGAGAGATCGCCCAGATTATTTTCATAGGTGGGAACCCCCTTTCCCTTGGATCTATCAGCTCGAAAAGCTCTGTCTTTTCCTTAGCGAGGTATTTAGAGTCACTCATTAGCTCACATAGTTATATTGTACAGCCTTAATCTGAATCAGTGTTTCTTGCACACTGTGGGGTATGGATCGCCAGAAATGCAGTGTTAGGATGAATTGTTATTGGACCTGCATTTGTTCACACCGTGGCGAGTCCTCGGCCCGTGGCATATAGCAATTGGAGTGTGATAGTGTGATAGTCAGGGTTCACAAGCCTCCAGGTCCAGGGCTGTGGACGGCATTTGAAGTACGGAGTAACCCTTGGATATAATGCAGCTCAATATTCTCAAGGCTTTGCGACATTGTTGTGAAACCTTTTTTATAGTTTTGATATATTTATATATTTTTTTTTTCTATATAATTTTCACTTTCTTTGGGAATACCGACATCTAACATCCGAATGCTCAAGACGTGTCGCTGATATGGTGGAATGTCAATCCCCCCTCGGTTCCTGGAGGCTGGAAAAAAGAGACTGGGAAAAAGGAATGAAGGAAATAGTATAATGTACGCAGTACGGGGGATATAAGTAGAAGACAAGCATTGAAGTAAAGATTCGAGTGATAGTATGCCCCTGAGTATGCATGTCCAATGAAACTAAGACTAGTTTGACTTAGAGCATCTCCGGGAAATTGAAACGGCCATCTCTTCCATCTTCGCTTTTCCTCTTTCACATTTCCTGCCTTCAACCTCCCCCTTTCTTCCCTTGGCTTTTGCCGCTTTGATTTGTTTTTCGAGTTCTTAGTGCGAATGCTTCTGTTCAGAAGCCTCCCCCTGCCCACATTTATTTTTTTGGGGGGACGCTGAGCGGCTTGTGCATGGAACGTTTTATGGTTCCTAGTGGTTCCTGGTTCCCACTTCACTTCTGAAATAGACAACTCCCCTATCCCTCGGATTTTCCACTTAATCTTTCGGGACCACGCCATTCTTTCGATATTTGGGTGTCGGATCGAGTCCACACTTAGGCGCAGCTTGACTTTGCGCCAGATCCCCTGATACGACCGATTACGACCACATAAATTACGATGGCCTTTCTGTTTAAATCGAAGAAGCACCAGCACAGTCAGCAGGCGGCTGCAGCTGCACTCCCCCCGGCAACTAGAAATGTCCACACCTCCGAGGGTGCTCCACCCGCTGGATCCCCTACTATGGCAAATGGGGTCAAGGGGGATGGCACAAATTCCCAGACACCGACCCCGAGCGGTAGTTTCAGCAACTCTCTACGCTCAGCCGCAAGCCCGACGAGTCCAGACGCAGTACGGCCGCGACAGAGAGCGGAATCGGAATCCCAGGTGGGTATCTGTTTCGCGATCCATTCGCTATTTGACGAGGACATAGCTCTAATGTCTACGACAGATGCAACGACCCCAGCAACCGCCCAACGGGATCCCCCATCCAAGCCCCGGTTCATCCCTTTACCCATGGTCGCAACGCCGCTTGAACTTCTCTTCTCCCCAGATGAACCCATTTCCTCGGTATGGAGCAGCAATCAATTCGGTGGCATCAAAGGAAGGAGACATATACATGATGGGAGGCCTGATCGATGGATCAACCGTCAAGGGTGATCTTTGGATGATTGAGAGCAGTGGTGGGGGCTTGAACTGTCTGCAGGTTGCGACGGTATCTGAAGGCCCTGGCCCGCGAGTTGGTCATGCCAGTTTGCTTGTTGGGAATGCGTTCATTGTGTTCGGCGGTGATACCAAAATCGACGAGAATGATTCTCTCGACGACACCCTGTATCTTTTGAACACATGTAAGGATGGCATCGATTATTCATATTACTATGACCCTGACTCTTTATCTTTTTAGCTTCCCGCCAATGGTCCCGCGCGATTCCTCCCGGCTCTCGACCTTCCGGGCGTTACGGTCACACTTTGAACATCCTAGGCTCCAAACTCTACGTCTTCGGAGGCCAAGTGGAGGGCTTCTTCTTCAATGATTTGATTGCCTTTGATTTGAACCAGCTTCAAAACCCAGCAAACAAATGGGAGGTCTTGATCCCGAACAGTCACGAAGGCGGACCCCCGCCAGGCCAAATTCCTCCAGCGAGAACAAACCACACTATCGTCAGTTTTAACGAGAAGCTATATCTATTTGGAGGTACGAATGGAGTGCAGTGGTTCAATGATGTCTGGTCTTATGATTACATCGCCAACAGCTGGACCGAGATTGATTGCGTTGGTTTTATCCCGGCTCCTAGGGAGGGTCATGCCTCTGCTTTGGTCAACGATGTGATGTATGTGTTCGGAGGTCGCACGGATGAAGGTGTGGACCTGGGAGACCTGTCAGCCTTCCGCATCTCAACTCGACGTTGGTACTCCTTTCAAAACATGGGCCCTGCGCCGTCCCCTCGATCTGGTCACAGCATGACTGCTTTCGGTAAGCAGATCATTGTTATGGCGGGTGAGCCGAGCTCGGCTCCTAGGGACTCGGCGGAGCTTAGCATGTCCTACATCCTCGATACTAGCAAGATCCGGTACCCCAATGATTCGCAACCTGGGGGACGCGTTCCCGAGCCGGCGACCAGAAAAACAAGTGTTGATAAACCTGGAATCTCGTCTGGACGCTCGTCTCGCGAGGCACAAAACGCAGTCCCAGAACCGCAAATGCGACGTGGGCCAACGCCATCGCGTGAGAGCATGACACACGGTGCGGCTGGTAATAGGCCAGGTGAGTTCGGCCCCAATCCAAATTTGGGACCTGGATCTCGACTGCCACGGGCATCAATTGCCCAAGCCCCTGCTGGCCCACCGCCTCCTGGACAAGCACCCTCTCCTGGGCCTCGTGGTAATGGCGCTCCAGCTGGTGCGAACCCTCGTAGCAAGACCCCGACAAAGAATGATCGCGGATACACACCAACCGCGGATATCCGTGGAGCAAACGACGAGCGTGGCGAAGAATCACCAATTATGAAGGAAGGTCCGCAAGATTCCCAGGGACCTCCATCAGCTGGTCGCCGAACCCCAACACAACATCAAAAGCCATCAGCGAAGGCCATGGAAGCAGGCGAGGCAGCTCCGTTGATCAGTACCCCAGGTCGACAACGGTCGCTCCGATCTCAAAGACAGCGTGGGTCTGTTGACAGCGGTGAGGAATCAATCCTCGGTCGGCAGACTAGCATCGAGGGTTCGGTGGAATCTCGGACCTTCCGCAACTCCAAGACACTTGGTGATGAGCCACGGTCTCCTCGACTTACGCCCCACCAAGAGGCTTTGATAAAAGAGTTGGAGGTTACCAAGGCCCGGAATGCCTGGTATGCCTCCGAACTCGCACTGGCAAGAAAATGTGGCTATGTTCCCAATGCAACCAGTAGCCCCGCGCTAGACGATCGGGCTAATGAGGCTCTGAGCGATGAGGATCGCCCGCTGGTTGAGGCATTCTTGGCTATGAGAGCTGACCTGAGCAAGATGCAGGCCACTGTGGATCGACAAGCGGCCATCGCATCTAAACGGGTTGCTGAAGTGGAACATCAACGCGATATGGCTATCAATGAAGCCGCATACTCCCGTGCGAAGCTCGCTGCTCATGGTGGCAGTCAGCGAGGCACTCCCCAGCCTGATGCTTCTCGCGATGGAGATGACGAGCGACCCACCGACATGGGACGCCGCCTTGCCCTCGCTTTGGCCTCCCTATCCGAGTTGAAAGCTAAATTAGATGTGCAGACCACAGAGCTTTCGCAGGAGCGTCAAGCCAAGGACCTTGCCGAAGAGACGAATGAGGCAACCCGGAAGCACCTGGCAGAGCTTGAGATGCAAAGCAATACTCTGGAAGCAGAAAATCTGCGCGCTGAGCTCCACCAAGCAGAGGCTCTTTCCAGAGAAGAGGCTTTCTTGCGTGGAGAAGCGGAAGCCTCTCTTCAACAACTTATTCTAGACAAAGAAGACTTGTTGGCGCAGATTGAGGAATCCTCCACCCGTTTAAAGGACTATGATTCTAGCTTTGGCGGCCTTCGAGAAGCTATTTCCGCCTCCACTGCGAAGACAGCCCTCGTCG